AGAGTCTGTACATCTTTAAAAAACTGTATTATTTACAATTTAATTTGTTCATATCCCTTAAGTACATTTGAGTTATTTTTTTTTTTTTTTTTTTTTTTTTTGGTTTTTCGAGACAGGGGTTCTCTGTAGCTTTGGAGCCTGTCCTGGCACTCGCTTTGTAGACCAGGCTGGCCTCGAACTCACAGAGATCCGCCTGCCCCTGCCTCCCAAGTGCTGGGATTAAAGGCGTGCACCACCACCGTCCGGCTTGAGTTATTTTTCACGAGTTGAAATATGAGTGGTTTATTATCAATTGTATATTAGTCTGTCCTTGTTGATGGGAATACAGTCTTAAAATTCTGTGTGTTTTTTAGAGAGGGTATTTTCCTGCATGTCCCGACTTCTTCCTTGTGTGGGCATGTCTCTTTCAGTCTTTGCCCCTGCTTGCTTGTTTGAGGCAGGGTTTCATGTGGACCAGGCTGGCTTTGAACTTCTGGCCATTCTTCTGTGGCCACAGATGTGTGTCACCACACCTAGCAATCTCTGACTTATTTTTTTTTTTAATCCTTAATGTTAGTGGAGGGGAGTCTTAAAAAGATACTGATCTGTATGCCTGCTTGTCATATGTAGAGATTTGTCATTGCTGGTGCAACTACTGATTCTGTGTGATTGTTACTGAGAAATTAGACAGTTTGTCTCGTTTGCCACGACATCTTCAGAACTGTTGACTAGAAAACTTACCTTGGTCATTTGGATGCCTGTTTGTTTGTTTTTTCTTTTTTGGTTTTTCAAGATAGGGTTTCTCTGTATAACCTTGTCTGTCCTGAAACTCTCTGTAGACCAGGCTGGCCTTGAACTTGGAGATCACTCTCCTTTTGCTTCCTGGGTATTGTGATTAGTAACACTATCTCAGAGAGATCCTCTTTTTTCTTAGATCGACCTTGTCTGTCTGTCTGTCTGTCCTGTCTGCATGTGTACCTTTATGCCAGAAGAAGACACCAGATCTCATTACAGATGGTTGTGAGCCACCATGTGGTTGCTGCGAATTGAACCCAGGACCTCTGGAAGAGCACTCAGTGTTCTTAACCTCTGAGATATCTCTCCAGCCCCCTAATATACTTTCTTTGGATTTTTGCTAACAGAAGGATAGTTTCTACAGAGGGATGGTTTATACAGCACAGTTAGAAGTTTCTTTTCTATCTGTAGGTCTAAAAAATGTGAAGTAGGCCAGTGAGTCGGCCCTAGGTGAAGGAAGGCACATGCCATGCCGTCAAGTCTTATGTCCTGAGTTCAATTCCTGGGACCTACGTGATGCAAGGAGAGAACCAACTCGTACAAATTACTCTCTGCCCTCCACGTGTGTTCACACACTCAGTCACGTGAGCATGTGCACACACAGATCTGACCCATGGAATCCCAGTGTGTTGGTCATGCCTGTGTCCCAGTTTGGGAGCCTAAGGTAGGAGGGTTGTGAATTTGAGGTCTGCCTGTGCTGTATAAGTAAGACCTTGTCAAAAATAAAAGAAAAAAGGTAAACTTAGAGAATGTTAAGTTTATGGAGGGCTAGCTAAAGAGAGATGGACCGCCATGGGTCCTGGTTACAAAGTATGCTATCAGTCTAATGGTCCAGGCAAGCTCCGGGTTTATTAAATAAGTTAGTCGCTCAGATGAGGCTGTTTCCCCAGTGGGAAAGCGGCAGTCTTACTGAAGAATACATGGTTGTTTTTATCTGAAGCCCAACTGTGGCCTCTGCAGTGGTGCTAGATGGTGGCTAAGCCACGGATGTTCATCTGTCCCCGCACAGTGGTTTATGTTGTCCTTTATTCTTTTCAGCCTCGTTGGCAAAAATGAAGTAGTCACCGCCATGGAATCCTTTGGAATCCCTTTGGGAAATAGCTGTCAGCAGCTTCATTCTCTTGAACTTCTCTTTGTCCTTGACTGAAAAATGCCCCTTCCTGTCTGACGAACATGTGTGTTTTGAAGGCACAGTGCCCAGCACATCCGTGTCCATAGACAGTGCTTGGAAATTAGGGTTGCCCTCTGTAAGTTCATGTGGCTGTTTGTTATTGGAGCATGGCGTTGTGTGTGTGGGGACACACATGACTTTTTGGAGTATTTGTCCTTTATCTCACTCTTTGGTTCGAGCTGGGCCACCACATGACTGAGTTTTCTGTTGCTGTGGGTGACTGTCAAGTTTATGACAGTAAGCTCCCTGCAGGCGAGGAGATCTTTCTGATTTCCACAGACTTAGTTACGAAAGACACTGAACATTCAGTACGTTGCAATGCGCTGACCTGTGGTGATGAGATGTGTCTTATATCCTATGACTCTTTCCCTGGTTGCCACAGAGAAACATGACTGAGATTTACAGTGTTATTCTTCCCTTGTTAATTCTCTGGATTTTCTTTCTTTGCTCCTCTCCCTCCTCCTCTTTTAACGAGACTGATTTTTTTTTTTTTAACCAAATGTGGAGTGACTAGAAAAGATTTTAAACCATCGTCGTACTCTTGAACTTACTAACCCGTAGACTGGGGCTGCTTGTTTGTTTCCTGGCCACACAGACCCGAAATAATCACACAGAAACTATGTTATTTGCAATACTGTTTGGCCAGTAGTTTAAGCTAGGCACTGGCATCTATAAAGGACAGTTTCCCTCTCTAAGTACCAAGAGCAAAGTTTGTCTTTTCCTTGCACACAGTGCACTCTTTTCTATCCACTTAATGTGTGTGTGAGTACTTGCATTTGGCAGTCAGAGGGCACCTGAGTAGAAGCAGTTCTTTCCAGAACACAGGTGGTTAGGCTTGGTGACAAATGCCTTTACCCTCTGAGCCACCATGACACCCTGTTTTAACACATAGTTTTTTTTTTTTATTGCTGGTATAATATACAATTGTGTTTTAGATAGACCTCAAGTGTATTGTTGTCTTTTGTTCACAATCCCCAGGTGTTTAGTGAGTTCTGTTGGTCAATTGCTTAGCAAGTCTATAAAACCTCTTTCTTTCAGACAGTAGTGGAAGTGTTAATTAATGGTCTGGGTGAACTTCTTAAACATGCCCACTATACACCAGCAGCACACTGCGGCACTGGACCAGTGATGTAACCGTAAAACAGACGGTCCGCAAACCCCACTGTTCGCGCGCAGATCTTTAGTCCACTCCGCACACAGCACGGAGTTAGGGGTGTGGCGGGTACTTGAAGAACTTGAAGCTAGGGTTAACTCTCTTGTCCAGGTCATCCCGGTCAGAGAGTCTGCCCCATGAGAAGGCAGGCGGCGTGGTGGACAGTAGAGTCCCCTAGTGTGTTACCTTTTCCTCGGGAGCTCTCTGTGTGGCAAAGATGAAAGAAGAAATGAGGACCACATAAGAAGTTTGGTCAACAAACTTGACCTAATCAACTGTTTTAGACTCCTCCATCCAACAACAGCAAAGCACGCATTGTTCCAAGCACTCCGAGCGTTTGCAGTGCTCTGAACCTTAGAACAAAGAGTAGAAGGAGAGATTTTGTTTTTAGTCAAATCATCTTACTATTTGTAGCAACAGGTTTATGGGTTGGGTTAGTACATCCACATAACAGAATACTGTGCAGCAAGAAGGGATGGACTTTGGGTCAACTTGAACAGTATGGACGAGACTAACTTTATGTTAATATGAATGCATGGAGACAAACTCGGCACTTTTATTCTGTGGTTTTTGACTTTGGGACACATATTAACCCATCCTAACCAGCACCGATAGCAGAAGAGCGATGCCTAGGGTGGCGGGGCAGGGCTGGAGGAAGAGGCCGGCTGAAAGGGAGATGTGAAGGCAGAAATGGCAGTCCATACACCTGTAATCCTGCTCAACGCTCAGTGAGTTCAGGGTCTACCTGGTCTGTATGGCGAGACCCTGTTTCTAAAAGGGCCGGTGGTGTGGGAGGCATGAGGAAAATGTTAATATATTATCTCAACTGTGATGGTTTCACTATGTGTCAGGTGTGTGTGGTGTGAAAACTTAACAATTTCTACATTTAAGACATAGCATAGATGTTCAAAATAATTTAAAGAAGCCAGTCTGAATTCTGAGATTGCCATGTAATAAGAACATGTATGAATATTCAGATGGCCTTTGCGCTGTGTTGGAACAATAAAAAGACCATACTGATTTTTGATTCTGTACATAACCATGGAAAGTTTTAGAAATAGATCTAGCAGTTTCAATGCAATGCCCATCAAACTCCCAGCAAAATTCTTCAAAGACCTTGAGAGAACAGTACTCAACTTCATATGGAAAAGCAAAAAACCCAGAATAGCTAAAACAATCCTGTACAATAATAAAACTTCTGGAGGCATCACAATCCCTGACTTCAAACTCTACTACAGAGCTATAGTACTGAAAACAGCCTAGTATTGGCATAAGACCCAAGACAGGACCAGTGGAACCGAATAGAAGACCTAGATATTAATCCACACACCTTGGAACACCTGCTAACTCGCGTTCTCGGATTTTCCGCCAGAAGCACGTTGTCGGTGTTGTATGCTTTTGTAGGCATCAGACACATAGTTTGCACTCAGTGTCTCCCACCATGCGTGTTTACACACATGTCCTGTATGACTTGGGTCATTGGCACCTAGTGGGTACCTTGAAGGTATATGTGTTGGTTGAGTCATGGAACACAGAAGAAACAGCAGCCAGTGAGAGAAGCAGAGCAGTGCCTGCTGGCTCCTGTGTAGGTGCTTGGTAGAATCTCAGTCCTTTCATGCTTTTTAAAATAGTGGTAATTAACACCATCAAGGGGCGCAGGGACAAGAGACAAAAGCAAGAGAAACCATAAATTTATGGTTTTCTTTTCCAAGTATGTCTTTTGCTGTGGTTAGAGTAGAAGTGTAGAAAATCTATTGTCTTTATGACATGGCTTTAAACTAATACTAAAATTATATAGGGGTCAATTCATCATGTCATAGAAAGGATGTTGTTAGAGGCGTCATGGATCCGATGGTTCAGGGTGAGAGGTAACCCTTGCTCATCTGTCACCTTATTTTCTAGGTCCGGACCCTGTTTGTCAGTGGTCTGCCCTTGGACATCAAACCCCGGGAGCTCTACCTGCTCTTCAGACCATTCAAGGTACTTCGAGTGTTTCGTTGTGGCCTTTAGAGCGGGGAGAATGTTGGAGGAAGTGCCCTGTAATGGTTTTATTTAAAGATGTTAACAAACAAAAGGAAGTTCAGATCAGAGTTCTGATATACAGTCTCTTTGGGATGATGGTCTAACATTATCCTTTGGTCTCTGGTAGTGAGTTCAGAAGACTCTTCTCACTGCTGTGGAGAGGCACCAGCCCCAGCATTCCCTAGTCCTTTCAGGGATAGCTTTAGTAGCTTTCAGTTAGAGGCATTCCCCTAAGTGCAGAGTGTAAGAGTTCCGCGGTGGGTCAGGGGATAGACCCGCTCTCTAGTAAAGCACTTGCCTAATGTGTATAAGGCCCTGGGCTTGATTTTTCCCAGCATCACACCCTCCCCAAAAAGGTATAAATAACTTAGTATGTATTTATGATTGAAATGCAGCTTTATGATTTGAGCCCTGTTGGCAGGTGTTGCTTTATTGGCTGGCATAGTGCTTTAGACAGTTCCGTATGGACGTGAATAGGTCACACCAAAAGCCATAAATGTTCAACAAAACCAAATGTTGTAGGCTAACTTGGTGTGAACTGAGGGAAACTGGTGGTAAATGAACTGTGTGGTGGAGTTTCCCGTTGTTCCTATGAAAGTGAGCTCGCTTTAGCGAGACCAAATGGTGCTGGATCTAAACTTTAACAGTGAGCTTAACCTTACCTGAAAGTTGGCTCAAACTGAAGTATCTATACTGTCAAGAAACCCTGAAAGTTGGCCTTTGGAGGCTATAATGTGGCCTGGAAGGCATGAATTTAAAACCTGTGAGTTAAGGGAGGTTTTGTTGGCAGTAGGAAGGCTACTGAAGCCTGGTGGGGCTGGTTAAGAGATGGGGTTTTCTGGTTCAAGACCAACCTGTTTGGAGAAGGACAATTGAGAGATAGGATTCAGCTTGGTAAGGACGTGGCAACAGAAAACACAAGGGCTGGGAAGGAGAAAGGCTCAGGCAACAGGTAGATACAACCCCAAAGATGTGAGCGGAGTTGATGTGAGCGGGGAAAGATAGCCGTTCCCATAGTGCATCAGTAGCGGTGACAGCAGAGAAGCCATTTGATTCCTGTAGTGACTTGAGCATGGTATGATCCAGCTAAATTTTGCGCCTGGGGCCTTTAAGGTTTTAAATCTCCGGGATTTCTAAGAGAAAGTGCCCCTTGTACAGTAGGCAGAGGCAGCCCTGAAGCCTTGGCTGGAAACGTTCACAGTAGCTAGTTGGTAACTCAGTGTGCTGCTTGGAAGAGGTGAGGATGAACCAGTCCCAGCACCCTGCCCAGAAACCTGAACCTTGAGGTCAGGTCTTCCTAGTCAGAACATCCCTAGCAACCCTCTCTTAATTTCAGCCCAGCACAGCTGAGCCTGGTCTGCAGATCTGTCCCTACACTAATATTTGTAGAGGTTCTGCATGTCAATTGGTGTATTCCCCTTTCCGTCACCTGTCAGTGCTGTTGATATTTCTGGAAATAAGCGTAAGAGAAATGAACTAGAAAAAGACAGGAACGCCATCAGCTTCTGCGGGTGAAGAGAATAGAAACAGGGAGGTATTTCATGTTCTCATCCAATTCACTATGAAAAGCGGCTGTTTCAGTAAGAAAGCAGAGCTCAGAGTGCCGTGTCTCCTGCTCAGCCCTTCCTGGTAGTGTTCATATGGTTATCTGTTTTTGTTTTGTTCTGTTTTGCAATATTGGGGACTAAATCTAAGGCTTTTGTGTATGCTGGGCAAGCACTCTATACTGAACTACTCACGCCACTGTGTGCATGTTATGTCCATGTCTGTAATGTGTGTCCCCAGCTAATTTTGGAGGCATTGTGAAGGGCAACATAGTTGATCACTTTACTTGAGGAAGGTGGACTTGTAATGCTTCCTTCTTCATTCTAAACTTGCTCTTTATTTTTTCAGGGCTATGAGGGTTCTCTTATAAAACTCACATCTAAACAGGTAAGAATTTAGAACTCATAAAAATGATCACCTTTTGCTAATGAAGTCTAATAAGTATTCTTTTGATTCAGTGAGGATTTGACCTATGTGTTATCAAAATTAAAGATGAAGTTGATTGGGAATTAGTATAGGAAAATGGTGTATAATTCCACAGTCTGTGGATTGGAAGTTTTGAGATTGAGAAGGTACAGTCATAGTGCCTCCAGCAGAGTTACAGTAAAACTAATTTGTTTCTTCAATAAACATATCATCTAAATTATTAGTCATAATTTTTTGAGGTTTATTATTTGTTTTACAGTTAGACAGACAGACAGTTTTACCTGCTCTTATGTTAATGTCTCCATTCAATGCCCATAGAGGCCAGAAGAGGGATAAGTCCCTGTAACTGGGGTTGCCTACAGTTGTGAGCCATGATGCTGGTGCTGGGAATCAAACCCTCAGGAAGAGCAGTCAAAGCTCTTAGCCACTGACCTATCTCTCCAGCTCTATGCACAATTATTGAGTAGTCCTCTTCATGGAATATTTGTAGTTTATAGACGTATTATCTGCATGGAACCTGTAAAAACACAGAGGAACCCACAGCAGGTGTCGAATGAAGAGGCAATAACTGATGGCCCTGTGATTCTTATTTCTCAGAGGTTGGCTAAACATTTCTTACCTTTGAAGCTGAACACTTCCAAGTCCCCTAACTTGTGCTGTATCAGAAATGAACTAAATTGGAGGCAACCAACACATTGAAAGATATAAAGGAAGGGACCCATTTCTCTGAGCAGTGTCCTTCCGTGCCTGAGTAAATTGAGCTCTTTGGAAAGGCATGGCTTTGGCTCTGGCAAGGTTCATTTGGTAGTTTCGGTTGCGCAGTGCGAACACAGGGATGTTTACCTTTGTGTCATTATATTCCTTGCACTTACAGTGAACCAAAGGGTGATTCGGTTTCTCTTTGCATTTTAAAAGACGAAGAAGCTGAGGTACAGTGAATTTGATTTAGGAAACTAGAGTCTCTCCAACCCAGATTCTCCTCTGTCCCCTGGTCACTGCTGCTCACACCTTCCAAGCACTTCTGATTTTTTTTCTTTTTTTTACAAAAGCGATTCTCTAAATTCTTGGCTGTGTCCTTGAAGAACTGCCCTCACCATCCCTTTGATTCACTTGAGAAATTTGGTTAAGTCACTAGGTCCTGATTCTTAGGGATTGGCTTTCTTATTTCTACCCATTGCCTGTGGTCATTTCTTTATCTTAGCTCCTCAGTTAGACACCACCCTTGACCTAGAAAACAGATGGCCAGTGATTTCTGTTTTCTTTTTCTTGATGTTTTTCTCTTTCTCCCTCAGCCTGTAGGTTTTGTCAGTTTCGACAGTCGCTCAGAAGCAGAGGCTGCAAAGAACGCTTTGAACGTAAGTGTGCACTGCTCTGATTGCAAGTGTGCATTGTGCTGATTGTAAGTGTGCACTGCTCTGATTTTAAGTGTGCACTGCTCTGATTGCAAGTGTGCACTGCTCTGATTGTAAGTGTGCACTGCTCTGATTATGTGCATTTTCTTAGGTAATGGCAAACAGTAGATTCCCTGTAGGTTAGAAGTCCTGTGTGTTACTGGAGGTCTCGGTGTGTCAAAGCCTGGGCTGCAGCAGCCCTAACAAGTTTCATGGGCTTCTTGTCCCCCACATGCTACTAAAGAGACAAGTAATAGTGAAACAGAGGCCTAGTCGATGTTCTGTTGCTGTGAAGAGACCTCGGCGACTCTTAGAAGGCATTTAGTGGATTGGTTTCAGAGGTTTCATTATCACCTTTTGGGGTACATGGTGGGATGAGGGCTACCTATATCCTGAATTGCAGGCAGCAGGTAGAGAGACTGGGACTGGCGTGGGCTTTTGAAACCTCAAATCCCAGCCGCTAGTGACACACTTCCTCCAAAGGCCACATCTCTTAATCCTTCTAATCCTTTAATAGAGTCCCATGCCCTGGTGACTGACCACTCAGTTACTGAGTCAGTAATGAGGGCCACTCTCATTGTTGATGATTTCCTTCATGGATTAAGGTTTTCTTTACTTCCCACGAATTTGAAGCTCAGCTGGGTGGGATCCTGCCCTGAGGTCTTGCTTTTCAGTTTATCCCATTTAGCATCAGGCTTTTCTTTAACCTTTTCTCTCCTCAAGCACTGAACTTAGGCCCGTTAATTACACTTCCTGGTGCTCCTTTTCTCCTCAAACTACACAGTTTGTATTTCTGTGGTCCAATTCCCTCCTTTTCATTCTAGGGCTGCATTAAGATTGGTTACTAATAACCACATAACACAGTCAGTACTTGGCCCTCTTAAAGTCTCGTCAATGCCATTAATCCCATGTTTTTCAATTTAACTGCTGGTAGTTTTTTTTTTTTTTTTTTTTTTTTTTTGTTAAAGAAAAAAAAAGTTGGGGCTGGAGAGATGGCTCAGAGGTTAAGAGCACTGACTGTTCTTCCAGAGGTCCTGAGTTCAATTCCCAGCAACCACATGGTGGCTCACAGCCATCCATAATGAGATCTGGTGCCCTCTTCTGGCAAGCATACATGAAAGGAATGTTGTATATATAATAAATAAATAAATTTTAAAAAGTTGCCATAGTCTTTGCCAAAATAACACAAGAATGGTCTCTAGGCCATTCTTCGCCTTTGAAACCTCTTGAGCTGGGCCTCCACAGTTCAAGCCACTCTTAGAACTATCTTTTATGCTCCTAGTAGGATGTCTGATTAAGCATTCAACCATTTGGGTTTTTTGTTTTGTTTTTGTTGTTGTTGTTTTGTTTTGTTTTTTTTTTTTTGTAATATACAGTAATACCCCACTCCTGGTACCAATTTATTTCTTAGTCATGAAAAACCATGACCATGGCAACTCTTATTTCTTAAAAAAAAAAAAATTGTGGGCTTGCTTACAGTTTCAGAGGATTAATCCATTATCTTAAGTGGTAAGCATGGCACACTGGAGGCAGCTGTCAAAGAGAGTCTGGGTCTCAAAGCCTACCCCCAGCGATATACTTCCTTCTATAATCCCACGCATCCTAATCCTTTTAAATAGTGCTGCTCCCTAAGCTTTTAAATATGTGAGCTTATGAAGACCATTCTTACTCAGTCCACCGCACAGAGAAAGGAGGTTTGTTCAGTGTAGCCACACCAGGAAATGGAACAAACAAGTAGGATCAACGATCCCCCACCAAACACCATCTCTGGAGTTCTGATATGTGGTTTAGTTTTCAGGAGCAGTCTAGAGGTGGTGTACGCAACTCACAAGTTCTGCTAAACTTGAGGCCCTCTCAACCAGCTTCCGTGCCCTCACGGTCTTGATTCCGAGTGGTGTCACAAACTGTCGGCACTCTGCGGTCTCTTTGGGAATACAGTCTCCCTTTGCTGGCACTGAGAATACAGCCTTTTCTTTCCCATTATGAGACTTTTGAGAGAAATTCTACTTCCTGGGTCCTTTGTTTGAATAGTCTGACAGGCAAGGGGCGAGGTGCAGTGCCTGCCTCTTTAGAGTTGTTGCTGGGCTGTATCCCTGTTGCTTGCCTAGAGCGCAGGAAGCGCTGGCATTGGTCTCCAGCATGGCATAAAACCTCAGTATGGGCTGGGTAGTGGTGGCTCATGTTTTTAATCCCAGCACTTGGGAGACAGGCAGGCGGATCTCCCGAGTTCTGGGACAGCCAGGACTACATAGAGGGACACTCAAAAAGAAAGAAAAGTTGTACGTTGGAGACTCAGGGAGCCTTCTGAATGTTGACTCTGTCTAATGGTGACACAATCTTGAGAGGTTTTTAAAATTTGAAACAAAATATATTTATCCTGTGTTAAGCACCTGCCAGGATCTTAGGATTTCAGTATATTTTTTCCTGTGTTGAGTGAGTGATCTCTGGTCAGAATTACTGCCTTCTACAGGACAACCTGTAAACCAGTTATTTACTGAGCACCAGCGTTAGACTGTGAAGCACAGTACATTATAGAATATTGTAATGTTATAATTTATGGAGCTCAGTGAAAGAGCGTGTGTCCAGCATGTATAAGACCCTGACTCAATTGCCACCTCTACAAAATGCATTGTATAAATTTGCATTTTATATTGATATAAGCAAAATACTCTCAATATCACTAAACTTTAGATGAAAGATGAAAACTACCAGTTCTGTTAGGCCGTGGTTTTCTTTTTCTTTTTCTTTTTTTTTTTTAAATTCTAACCATGCAGACTTAATTGTTCTTGAAAAGAAAGGAATGGCCAGTGCAGCTCCTGGTGCTGGGTCTTATTTCTGGTGCCCCTGCCTCTGCAGTGATACCATCAGTGAGCAGGCAGCATTCCTCACTTCCGGGGGTATGGTGGTGGTGTTAATCTTGGTTTTTAACTCATAAACAAAGTTACTGTTTTAATAATGGCAATAGTCAAGCTGTGAGCATCCCTTGCCATGCCGAGTAGAACCCAGCAAATACCATTTCCGTTTTTGTTGGTGCTCAAGGCTGTTCCATTTGTCCCATGCCAGTGAGCTCCAGGACACCGAACTTTTGAATCTAGTTTATTAATATCATTGTGCCCGGCTCTCCTTTCTCCTCCCTGGCAGCAATCCTTGTAGCAGCGTCCTGTCCCGTAGTCATAATCATTGTGTTAATTGCTAAGAACCTCAGAGAGGGTGGAGTGGTGGTGGTGCATTCCTTTAATCCCAGCACTCAGGAGGCAGAGGCAGGCAGATCTCTGTGAGTTCGAGGCCAGCCTGGGCATCAGAGTGAGTTCCAGGACAGCTAGGGCTGTTACACAGAGAGAAACCCTGTCTCGAAAAACAAACAACAGCAACAACAACCAAAAAAATCCCTCGAATAGTAGCAACCTTATTCTGTGTCTCTGCGTGTTTGTGTGTGTGTTGTGGGTGGGGAGTGGCGGAGTCAGTGAGCCTTGGCTTGCTGTGCTCAGGGTGACTTGTAAATAAATGTCTTGCTCACTTCTTTCTTGATGGTCTTTGTTGTTGATGGTGCTGGGATTTTTGTTGTTGTTGTTTTATTTTGTTTTTCTGCTTTTTGAGGCAGGGTTTCTCTGTAGCATTAGTTGTCCTGGAACACACTTCACTCTTGTAGACCAGGCTGGCCTCGAACTCACAGAGATTCCCTTGCCTCTGCCTCCCGAGTGCTGGGATTAAAGGCGCTACTCCTGCCCTCTCTTGATGTGTAGCTTTAGGGCTTCCATACACCTTAGAAACGTCTGCCGCAGTACAGTTAGGGGAACAGACCTACAGGGGGATGAGCGGTTCAGTAAGAATGGTGTGTGGACGGAGCTAGAGGTGACTCAAAGTCGGACCCTCCATCTTAGTCCAGTCTGTTCCATCCTGGCTTCTCGCCACACTTCTGGGTCCGGTTATAGACTATTGCTTCCCATTGTCCAGGACAAACAGCCGTGGAGCTTGGTCACCCTGTCTGTAAAGAAAACGGGCCCATCATGGCAGTGTACTTAACATTGAGCTACTGTTCATCTTCCTGAGTGTTGACCCCTTGGGCCTTTTCAGGATCGTCTTTTGTGATCGATGAGTTAAAAACATGTACGGCTCACAGCTCTTGCAAAACGCTCCTTGTGTCATTTGCTGAGGCTCTTTTCAAAGAAGCCTTCCCTCAGATCCCTGGAGAATAGTTAAGTGGTGTAATTATTTGGTTTGGTTCCACTGTTGAGAAATGTAAACCTTGATCCAGAAAGTGCCTTGTATAGAATAGTCGACTGTCACACGCCACTTCCGTGTTTGCAGCTTTCCTTGTTAGTTCGTCTTGGTCACTGCCTAATTCAGTCATTAGCGTCAGCCTTCCCAAACAGACCGTGGATTGTTACAGCCACTGGCTTTCCTGCCACATCCAGCCTGAGCGCCAGTCGATCGGACAGTGTTGCGAGACAGTGTCCTCGGGTTGTTGGGTAGCACTGACCTGTGGTTGTTCATGATCCCCTAGAGGAAAGGAGTATATTTTGCTTTTGTAGGAAAAGCTCCCAAATTCGACTCTGAACCACTCAAGCCCAGATTTCCCTTTCGATTGCCTATGGTTCCATTATTCACATGAGTAGGAACATCTTTCGTCTCTGAACACAACAGCGAGCTGTCTAGCCTGCTTTGCCCAGCACATTTGGATAGTTAGCCCTGCCCACGGAAGAGGATGAGAAAGCTGATCATGACTTGAAGAATGTGTTTGTGCTTTTGAAAGGTAAAGTGCTAATCCGAGGGTAGCCCAGTTAAGTGAGAACCCCAGTTTGGAAATTGTTAGCAGAGGCACTCAGGCCTAAGGGTGAAGCCCGCGAGCAGCGTGGGACGCTTGTTCAGGGTCTTTTGAGTGACTGCACGCCTCGCCCTCGTCATCGCTGCCTAGTCGGATTCTTGTTTCAATAAATAATGATGGCAGTGAGGGCTTCAGAGCA